TTGAGGGGGAAATTCACTTGTATCAGCAGGTTCACCTTTTTCTTCAACTACCTAGAGGTTAATTAGCACTCTACCCTCCTTTGCTCCTGGAGGTGTGGGGGTGGATGGGATGGGTGGATCTCAAACCTCGCCTTTTCAGCAATGGGTCTTCAGGTCCCGACCCCCCCCTTTTTTTTTTTCCGTTTGGAAACTTTGATGGTCCTACATGGGCACAGCTTCCCCAAAGCTGTGGCGGAAATATGGAGGTCTCGCGTATGGCCATACTTTCAGGGACAGGCCAGACAGGGTCTGGTCCCCTGAAGTGAGCCAGGCACAAGCTGAGCTCTGAGTAGCAGCACTAGCGGTAAGGTACCTACGGTTCCCCAGTGTGCCGCTGTGGGACGCACTCCCAAGTGCTACTTCTGTTCCCATATTTTCTCCGCCCCCTGCCCACGCTTAATTATCTCCTCTAGCTCTCCCCCACCGCCTTCCTTTCTTGTGTTTGGTGGGCAGCGAAGTGGGCGGCAGGAAAGCCTGGCTTAGCCCTGCGCGCCCTGCGGCTATCTTGCAGAGCGCGGTGGAAGCGAATCGCTGGAGGGTCCGCGATGCCGGAGAATGGCTCTTTTGTCAACTGCTGCGAGGCGGGCGGGCTGGCAGTGCGCCCGGGATGGTCCAGGACTGGTGGTGCGCTGCCCTCCGGGACACCCCGGCCTCCCTGGGTAGCTCCTGCGCTATCCACCGTGCTCATTGTCACCACCGCGGTGGACGTAGTGGGCAACCTTCTGGTCATCCTCTCGGTGCTCAGGAACCGCAAGCTCCGGAACGCAGGTGAGCGTCACTCGCTGCTGGGGTCCCGAACTTTCCCTGCCCTCAAGTCTGGGCCCTGATCCCGCGATCCGATCCGTTGCCTCCTCTCTCCTTGATCCCCAGCTCCCTTCTCCCCCTCTCCTTCTCCCCACCCTTACTCTAACCAAATCCTGAAGTTTGGTTCTGCACTCAAAAGTTAGGGCGAATTCTGGCTCTCCAGACGTGCAGCGGTTCTGGCGGCTGCCTCTGGCAGCTGTCCGGGATGCGCTTGGCACATTAGAACAGGTGTGAATGGGGAAAAGGTTTTTTGGGGTTTTTTGACGCCCTTTTGTGGCAGGGTGAGGTACTATGGGATCCCACACACCTGGACGCTGTTGCTACCTGGAGCATTCCAATCTGTGTCCTGCCAGACAGTGCCCCTATTTGGCTACAGAAATCTCAGGACCTTTGACATCTTGCGCTCTCCCCTGCCAAGCACTATGACTTCATGTAGTTGGTGCTTAGAAAATACTTGGTAAAAGAATGAGTGAATTAATGGAAGCTTTATATCAAAATCCATCTCCGGTCATCTGTAGATCCTATTCCAACCAAGAGAAATTGTAAATTGCTTTCAAATAAAATGGTCTGTTCTGAAAACAGGGAATTTATGAGATTAACTGTGAAAAATCAGAACAATCATTTGGCTAAATCATGGTGCAATCCCGAAGAAGAACAAAACCAGAAGGAGGGAGTACCTGAACTCTGACCTTAACAGGTCATTGGAGCTTGCTAACCATTTCAGCCTGGGAAGAAGTTCAGTGTCCTATTTGTTAATTTTGTAATTTCCCATTGGACCCTAGTGGGCAACTCAAATACAGTGTAAAAATAGCAGGAGGAAAATAAATTTAAAGCTTTAAAATGCCTTTTTAAAGGGGCTAGACAATTCAGGAAAACTGTTTTTAAATAAATAATTATATAAGTATGGGGGGTGGGAGAGACCTGCAACTTGAGGATTTTCATCTGAAAAACAAGCCAAAAATAAAAGTGTGCGGTTCTAGCCACCACAGGAGAAACTGAGTATTGTTAGGGAGATCTAAACTTTACAACTTAGGCATTTCAGTCATGATGGCTACTACTATCTGGAATAACTAACTATTCTAAGATGTTATTGTATCTTTGAAGGAAAACATATTAGGAAAGAGCAAGCTGTGATTAGAAAATGATAGTTAACATTTTGGTTGTATTGTCCCTTTGCAGCAACCACAAACATTCATTTCCTGCACAGAGAGGCAGGAGGTAGGCAGCTCCTGGCACTTCTCCCTTAGGAAGGATGGGCCCTCCAGGTTCTGACTCTGGCCCTTTCTTTCCTTCCCTAACTTTCTGGGTGTTTAGAAAAGGCCTGGCAAATTGTAGCTCAGTGCTCAGTAATTGGGTTTCCTGCCATGAGAAAGGTAGTTGAGGGAAGAGACTGCTGCTTCCTCTTGCCTGAGGAGAATAGCATCCTCTCCCCTCTGTACTACCCAGGGAGGGCTGGGCTCTTCTGTGCTCTAGGCAGCCCTCACAAAAAGTTTACTGGTCTGAGAGCAATGAGGGGAATGAGCATGTTAAATTGCTAGCACATCCTCCATCCTGCCCTTCCTACCTGCCCATGTGTCTGCTACTCGCCAGCACCAGAAATATGTATGTGTTGCTGAGGGTGAGGAGTGGGGATGGAAACTAGGGGCTCATGCATGTTGGGAAAGAGCCATACCATTGAGCTATACCCCAGGCCCCAGAAAAAAAAATAATATGATAGCTAATGACATTTAGTCCTGCTCTATTGGTGGCTTTGGCAGTCATGCAATTTAACCAGTATTTTTTATTCTGTTTTGTTTTGTTTTAGGTGCTAGAGGTGAAATCCAGGGCTATACACATGTTAGAGGAGCTCTCTACCACTGAGCTACATCTCAGTCCTTAAGCAATTTTTATATGACCATTGGCTTTATTTGCCATAGTCATGAAAAACTGTAGTATTGACTTAAACTAAATGATGTTAGTGGAGTGAGATTTCAAAACATGCTTAAAATATTTTGAATAGCATCCTTTCCACTTTTTTAGACCTTCTCTTATTGATGTGTTTGGATTTACTTAAAATAAAAAAAATAATTCATATCTTTTCATAACTAAGTCTGGCTTCTCAATTAATCAATATTAAGAAATTAGAACTTCGCATTGAGAATATAAAATTTCTAACAACTAGATACATAGCCCAAATTGAGGTCACAGTGTGCTTCTTAGAGACATCTTTATCCTTTACTTGACTATTATAAGCCCAAATCTGTGGGGCAGATCCTTGTCACTCATAGTTTCTTCTGTAGCTTATTGCTGTGTGTGGTGAGTTGGCTTTTTCAGAGACTCCAGTGAAGAAAGGCAGACAGGGAGGAATGAAGTGATGGTGAGGGTAGGTTCAGGATACTGTCTTGAGCACACTCTGTCCTTACTGTCCCCCTACCTCCTCCACCTACAGAACAGTGTCCACTCCAGAATATAGCTTCCATGACATTTATGACTGACCTAACTGCTGAACTACGGCCTCATCTCACTCATGCCAAAGGAGACTGCTGCCACTTCCCATGAAAATCCATGCTCTCATGCACAGAGAAAGTCCCCAGCCTCTTTTGCCTGGTCAACATCTGCTTCTTTTCAAACCTCTTCCCCAGCTCCCCTACAAAGTTGTTAATGCTTTCTATCAATACCCTGAATAGCAAAGTGAGTGTCTCCCTCCTCAAGCTTCCACAACAGCCTGTGCTCTCCCCACGTAGCACCCACCTCTCTCTACTGTTTTTATCTCTCCCCCACTGGACTGCATGAAAGCAGGGATTTTATTCCATTTCTGTCCACAGAGTCAGGCACACAGTAGGACCTGGATGCACTTCTGTTGAAACCAATTGAATATGGATGAGATATTCAAAGCAGTGGGACAGAGAGAATGAATGCTACTTCATGAGGTAGGGTATATCTTAGGTACAGGACTCAGCACAAAATCAGCAGGAAGGAGTTTCATGGGAGTAAATTGCTTCGAGTACTGAAAGCCCAAGAACACCTCACTTTTGCCCTCCAAGGCTGACTATTAACACCATCTTCACAAAGGCACGCCTGCTCTCTGGCTGCTCCTATGTGGCTAGAGTCCTTCAGCAGGCTCCAGGTGCTCCATAGTTCTCTGATATTGTACCCTGATGATTCCTCTCAGGGAACATGCCCTCTTGCTGGTCTGTTCTGAGCCACTGTAAGCTGCCTATAAAATGTGAGCTTCCTGGGACTACCTGAATTATCCAGACAGTCCCTGCCCTAGAGAGCTCAGCGAACCCTGTCCTTACAGTAGCATCTGGTCTCTTCTCCTTTAGCAGAGAGAAAAGTGCAACAGTACCCTGGCTCCACAGGCACACGGGCTGTGGCCTCATGATGGGCTTTTATGCTGCAGCTGGAGGAAAGGCCACCTGGGAGGTGTTGTTAGTGAGTAGAAACTTTGGCACTTCTAGGGTATTTCAATCATTTGTAAGGCAGAAAGACAGACAGTAGCTGACATGGGAATTGCTCAGGAAAATATGAAGCATTCGCTTGCTGAACATACAGGTTCTTATTCAGAGTCTGCTCTATTCACACTGGAAAAGCTACCCCTCCCCAAGGCAGCCAGCAGAGTTCAGGGACTGCACCATTTCTTATCTGAACCAGTACCTACCTATGAGGTTACTGGTAGGTTACTGGTAGGATCTGCCTGTGCAGATGTTTAGTTTCCCAGTCAGAGCAGAGTCTGCAAGGTAGCCCCTTTCCATTCTCAATGAGAAATGAGCAGTGTGTGAATCCATGTGATGGCCCTGAACAAAAGCACTTAGAAGGCCCAGAGAGGAGGGAAACCTTTAGTAGGTTCACAATCTCTGCCCTCCAGGAGTTCCAGGGTAAGGTGGAGTCCACTCCATTCAGGTTTTTTTTTTTTTTCCCTACCACCAACACTTACTGAGAAGTCACTTGCTACCAGATATCTTTTGAGCCAGATTTTGAGTGTGTGTTATCAGCAGAAGGCCAAACTGGGCTGCCTTGGACTCCCTCCCTACCATCTGAGCTTTCCAATTTCACATTCTGGCTGTGCATACCTTATTATATCTTCACTGAGCAAAAAAAAATGAGCACTTTATAAAATCCCATAATTATGTCTTTAGCTGCCTAATGAGGAAAGCTCTTAATCCTCTTTAATTCCCCCCAAGAAATTCTCAGTAGCCCAGGGGTATAAAGACTTTCATGTTTGACTGCTTTTCTTTCCAAAACATTGAATTCTGTATTTAGATGTGATGTTCTGAAAAACTGAGAAGGTACTCAATGTGGGTAATAGGACATCTGATTTTAGACATGTGTTGCTAAAAAAGTAAAAGTTAGGAAGTTTGGAAGGCTAGAGTTCACAATCTGTAAGTAATGTCCTAACTTCATCATCACCTTCATCCACCACTACTATAATAGCCTCGGTATCTACAGACCCTACCATCTGTGTCTGTGTAAGTTCACAGTATGATGTTCATGTGATGATGAAATCACCTAATGGCACCTTTCTCCGACCATATCTCTCTATCCCTATTATTAAGTCACTCATAACCCTACTTCTGACATCTTATTTCATGGGAATCCTATTCTGACTCATGAGCTTCTTTCTTGTTCTTTCACTGAAACTAACAACAACACATAAACAACTATAACAAGTCATAGTTAACATTACTAAGTGTTTATTATCTATCAGTTACAAATCTCTGTCCTTTGAGAGGAAGAAAAGAAAAAAAAAAAAGAATACCACAATCCCCCATCAAAGGCATATCCCTTCCTAAGTACTAACATCTCTCTCTCTCTCCTTTGAAGAACAGCCTACAGGACAAAACATTACACCCCCACCTTTGCCCTTCCTGATGTCCTTGCTGGTCTACTAACTGCTAAGTTCAATGGTTAAGTTGCTATTCTTTCTCACTTACTATCCCCTTGACACTTCTTTTTCCTGGCTTCTTTATTCTTTTCTTGTTCTTTCTCCATTTTTCTCTCTTGTTGTTATGAGCAATTCACAAAATCTGGGTGTTTCCTTCTTTATCCGTAAGATGAGACTCCATAAATAAAACATGTAAATAGATGGAAGAAGCCATCTTAAGGAAGCTACAAGAAATTTAGCCCTCTTAGCAATGAGAGATCTTTGTTGATTTCCCTATCATTCTCCTAATTGCATCTTGTTTTTATTTGTTTGTCTTCTCTGAGACCATGAGCTTCTTAAGAGGAGAGAGTTGTTTTACTCCCTTGCTTCCCGAACCTCCTGGAGCGACTAGTCAGCCGCTCTCTAGTGGAAAACTCAGCAAGCTTGTTGAGTAAATGACTCAGTGAATATCTGTTTCTACATTGACATTTAGGTTAGTAACCAGGGGCAATTTAGTCCAACCAGACTCTTATCTGAGCACAGAGGATGAGAGGAAAAGAGGCAAGGCAGAGGGGCAAGGGTAGCTCTGCCTTCCAGAATTCCTCTATCTGATGAAGACTAGACAGCTCAGCACTGGCTAGCTCTTTTCTGGATTACCTAGATTTCCAGAAACAAGGACAGCAGAGGAGAACAGGGAGGGTATTGTGGTGGTCCCCTGTGTGAAGGGATGAGCTTTGCATATGAATACTGGAAGGGAATTCCGTGTTTGCAAACTGCCCTGTTGTGGAGGCCTCTTTCCCCTAGCCCACCTTGTCTATGGAGGCAGATGGAAATGAGTCTCTGCAGGACATGGGATATAAATATTCATTAGAAGCCTGTACACAGGGTGAGTAGCAGTGCTGTGGGCATGCTGATTGGTTTCTCACCTGTTCAGGGAAGAAATGGAGGGAGAACTGGATCTCCTTTTGACTCTCATCCAGATAGGACCTGGCTTCTTACAGATGGGAGACAAAACAGGAATTGTATTCACCTAATTTGAAAGGGTGCCAAGAAAGCCACAAGACAGTAAGACAACTGGGCAGATGAATCTACAGCAGGAACTGTTTGATTTCAGCTTTTTAACAACAGCCAGCATAATAGGGGAGAGTAATTGAATCACTTTCCACGTGGAGTTGAATGTGTTCTTCTCACTATTTACAAGCTGTTTGCCAGCCTCTAGGGCATTATTAAGAGCTGAGCCACATTAACAGGCAGAGCTTGACTCGGCTTTCCTAAGGAAACAGCTGGCAAAGCTGGCACCAGCTCCCAGCAGCTCTTGACTTTCTCTGCACGTGCTTGCAAGTGCCAAGAGCCTATTTGCCATTCATCCGTGAGCCAGCGGGCCCTGCAGGGACCAATCTTCCTGTGTTGGAAAGAAGTGATTTTCTTCACAGAGTGTGCATGGATGGGGTGGGGGGGGGGAGGAGAGTCCAAAAGAAACAGAGAACCAGAACTGATGAAGGAACACTAAAGAGGAACACTGAAGTTCAGTTAACTTGACCAATTCCTGTGATCAGGAAGTAACTGAATTTTTTCCCGGATTGCTTTAACTTTCAGCGTTGCCTTTAAAGTTTTAAAATTGTGGGACAAGAAGTAGTTAGGCTCATGATGCAGCTGAAGCTAAGAAATTTCCCACTCCCTGGGATGTAAGTGTAGGCTGAGCAGGTGAGTCCAGACCGTGGGCACTGGAGACAGCCAACGTGGCGGAGAATTATATGGAAAGGCACTAGACCTCCCCACCCCAAGCAGATGCACATTTCTTTATTTGAAGCAACAGCTAAAGGAAAACAAGAGTTTTTTAACCAACGAAGTAAATAGATCCCCCTAATAGTAGAATAGGAAAGAATCCAGAGCTCAGCCTGAACACAATTCTTCTTCACCAACCCACCTCCACTGGCACGTCTGCAGAGACGGGGGCATTCTAGTTGTCCAGACGGCTTCCTTTCTATTCACTTACATCCTGTCTCTCTCAAATTGTATCCTAGGCCCAGATACAGGGGCTAGGATAGGATTTGAGGAGGAACTTCCAAGATACTAAATAGGTTTCTTTTTAGTTGGTTCTGAATGGGGTTTACCCAGGCCCTCTGAGGCCAAAATAAACACTTCTAGAAGGCTGCCTGTGTGTCTTCCAGGTTTCCAGCCTCACAGGTAGCATGTTACATGGAATCATCTTTGAGATGGGATTAGAATGTGTGCCAGGACAAGGGAGGGCTGGAGGCAGTCCCTTCCCTGTCCTTGTAGGTGAATAAGTGAAAATGTAGGGTCTGCTTCTCCTGAAGGTCAGACTCAGGTGAACTCCCAGTTGGTAGGCTCCAGCATCTTTTGTCTATAACTCCTGGCATCTCGACCACAGCTTGGTTTCCTCAATTGCTAAATCCTGGGGATTGTTTTCTGGTCCTATGAGGTGGTTACATCAGCCTCCGCAGAGTGAGGACAGGGCTGGATATCTTAGGTCTGGACATGGGAGTAAGTATTTAGGTCCTGAGAACTTCCAGGATACTAATTGACTTTTTTCCTGCTGATTCTGAATGGGGTTGACCCAGAAACTGTATGGCCATCGCTATAAGCGCTAGAGCATCAGTGTTCTTGTCACTTGAGAGTTCCTCCTGTGAGCCCATTCCACCAGCCCTCTGTGTTCAGCCATCCTAAGGCTGGCAACTTTGACCTTACCCTGTGGCAAGAGGACAGGAGATCTGAAAGACTATGCCCACGCATACTGTATTGATACCAGTTCCTGCTGGAGGAAGTGTCTGTTGTCTTTTGAGCATATAGTAGCTTCTCAAAAAGCACAGCGCTTGGGGCTGGGGATGTGGCTCAAGCAGTAGCACGCTCGCCTGGTATGCGTGCAGCTCGGGTTCGATCCTCAGCACCACGTACAAACAAAGATGTTGTGTCCACCAAAAAGTAAAAAATAAATATTAAAAAAATTCTCTCTCTCTCTCTCTCTCTCTCTCTCTCTCTCTCTCTCTCTCTCTCTCTCTCTCTGTCTCTAAAAAAAAAAAAAAAAAAAAAAAAAGCCCAGCGCTTGTCAAATGAAACAGATGAGAGCTGCTCTTGCCCTGAACTTCATGTTGAAAAACTTACAGGTTCTTTCTTGGTGCTTTACTTATGAGTTGCTGTAGGTTTTAGAAAGCTAATCTTGAGGAGCTGAGACTGTGAGCCCTGCCAGCTCCTTAGGTCTCTGGCCCAGGGTATGTGTGAGTCCTGTTAACAATGGCTATATGGTTCCCTGAGGCTCTCCTGGGTAGTTACATTTGATGATGCTGCAGAATGTTCCATTCAGAGAGGAGAAGAAGTTCAGGAAGGCCCAACACTGTGAGAGAGGAGTGCCCTCATCCCTCCTCACCCAACAGGATAGGGGCTTTGCACTATTCTGAATGTCTGTCAAGTGGCTATAAGTATGGGCCCTGGACAAGGCACAGAGGGAATACTGGTCCCTACTCTCAAAATCTTTCTTCTATTCCAGCTGCAAAATGCAACTCATATGAAGATAAATGACTTTGAGTCACTTAGAAAGTAATTCATCAACCAGTGGAGGGAAATGCAAAAGAAAACTGTCAAAGAGAAGTGCAGGGAAGCATGGACTTGGGGGGTGGGGCAGGCGCGGTGATGCTGGTAGTGATGGTGAGTCCACATTGCTCACTTTCAGATTCGTCTCCTCCAAAATCTTTGTTGGAGCTTAAATGTTATCAAGTCCCTGTCCATCTTTGCCTGCAATTTGTGAGAACCCACTGTGTTCCCAAGTACCGGGCATCATTATTTAGTTCTCAAAATTATAATACAAGACAGGGATCATTTAGCTTCAATTTGCAAATGATAAAGGTAAGGCTTTGAGAGCTTAAGTAACTTGCTTCAGTCATCCAATTAGTAAGTAGCACAGATGCAATTAGAATCCTCAACTATGTTTCTAAATGCTATGTCATTTCCCCTCCCAATGCTGAAAGTAACTCAGTGAAGGACATGATGTTCTATCTACAAAAATGTTAGGGTCTTTTCTGACTCTTGCTCTCTTTTTCCTGCTTCAGGTAATTTGTTCTTGGTGAGTCTGGCGTTGGCTGACCTGGTTGTGGCCCTGTACCCCTACCCGCTGATCCTGATGGCCATCTTCTATGATGGCTGGGCACTGGGAGAGGCGCACTGCAAGGCCAGCGCTTTTGTAATGGGCCTGAGCGTCATTGGTTCTGTCTTCAACATCACCGCCATTGCCATTAACCGCTATTGTTACATTTGCCACAGCATAGCCTACCACCGGTTCTGCAGGCGCTGGCATGCTCCAATCTACATTGTCCTAGTCTGGCTCCTCACCCTGGTAGCCTTAGTGCCGAACTTTTTTGTGGGGTCCCTGAAGTACGACTCACGTATCTACTCCTGCACCTTCATCCAGACGGCCAGTGCCCAGTACACAGCAGCAGTGGTGGTCATCCATTTCCTCCTCCCCATTTCGGTGGTGGCCTTCTGTTACCTGCGTATCTGGGTGCTGGTGCTTCAGGCCCGCAGGAAGGTCAAGTCAGAGAGCAAACTGCGCTTGAGGCCCAGCGACATGCGGAGCTTTCTGACCATGTTTGCAGTGTTTGTGATCTTTGCCGTCTGCTGGGGCCCCCTTAACTGCATCGGCCTCGCTGTGGCCATCAACCCTGAAGAAGTGGCTCCCCAGGTCCCCGAGGGGCTCTTTGTCACTAGTTACTTCCTGGCTTATTTCAATAGCTGCCTGAATGCCATTATCTATGGGCTCCTGAACCAGAACTTTCGCAGGGAATACAAGAGGATCATCTCAGCCCTCTGGAACCCACGGCGCTGCTTTCAGGATGCTTCCAAAGGCAGCCATGAGGAACAACTGCAGAATCAAGCTCCACGTGTTGGTAATGCCCAGCACTTTGCCCGGGCAGATGCTCTCTAGCCTAGATCTGAGGCACACTGGTTGGGCGATAAATCCATGAAATCATGGGTTTGAATTTGCAGCAAGGTTAAAATCAGACATCCTGCTGTGCCACACCATCCTCTTTGCATCCACAGCCCACAACTTGTGGAACTCCATGCTACAGACAAGGAGCTCATCAGCTGCATTGGTTCAGGATGACCAGGGGATAGCCACAGGTACTGGATCTGGCTGACACTTTCTGTAGTGTGCTGGGGGCTTGGCACAGACAAGACCAAGGAAAGGGCCTGGGCCAGAAAAGCCAGTTCCTTCACATGGATTGCCCCTTATCCTCCTGCTGAGAACCTAGTCACTTCCTTCTTCCCATCGCCTGAGGGATAGAAAGAACATATCTTTTTGTGGATGCTGGAGTGAAAGAGCAAGATCAGATCGGTAGCGCTGGAAGGTGGGTGACTGCATGGCTCCAGGATGTGGGGAGTGCAGAGGGCAGCTTTCCATGCTCTCCCCATTGACCTTTTCTATACACACACACACACACACATATACACACACAGAGAGTCACACTCCCCCTGTCCTCCACCTCAGACATCTGGAGAACAAAGTCTGCTTGGCTACCTTTCCTGATTCCACCATGGTCAAATGCTGTGATTTGGGGAAGGTCAGCTAACTATTTTTCAGTTCACTCATTTTAAAATGAGGATTGTGTCAGTGTCTACCTCCCAGGGCTATTGAAAGGATCCATTGGGATAACACATCTCTAAGCATAGTGCCTGACATGTGACTAGCTCTCAGTAGTCATCAGCTTCCATTATTATTCTATTCAACTAAAATGAAAGATACTCTTGAAGGAGAAAAAAATCATGCAAAAACAAGGGAAGGAGAGAGAATGGAGTTGGGGAAGTGGAAGTTCAGTGGGGGGATCTCCACATGAGTACTTTTCTTATAATTATTTGTGGAAATTTCAAGTCTTCATTTAACATCAATAGATTTAGGAGTTTTCTTCAATTCAAATAATAATTGCATGACCTTTGTAGGTCTGAATCAACAACGGGAGAAGCCAATAGTATACTATCTACTCTCTGGGAAGTCAGAATTGATAAATTACTCTGAGAAAAATTAGAGGACATTTTATTTATAACAGGCAATGTGGTGAATGCTTGATATAAGTATTGATATTAACACCTTTAAATCCTTTCAAAACTCTTGGAAATAATTTTATTGTCCTCTTTCATATTAAACCCAAAGTGAAATGATTGTCTGAGTTTGCAGAGATGTTAAGATCAAAGCTCATTGTGGGGGGGTCATTTGTCTGAAGGCAGAACCCACTTCTCTGTCCTCTCCTCACTCCTTGACATGTGTGGCAGGAACAAACTGGAGTGGCTAAGTACCAACATAAGTCAGCACATAAGGCGTGTGGAGGCTTGCAAGGAGAGAGGTTACCTCAACCAGCTGGTGGTTTTCCTGATTGAAGAGCCCATAGTTTGCCTGAGGTGCTGATCTCTTAGCAGTATTCCAGATCTTCTCCCTTCCCATGAGGAATCTAGGCGGGGTGCTATACCTCATCACCTATTACCTGGGAGCTCATTATTATTGAAATCCCTAGGGCCCCACCAAAAAGGTTTAAATTGTGGAAATCTGGGGAAGAGTCTGGGAATGTGATTATGAGAAGTCCTCCATCAAATTATTATTAGATATTAGAAGTCCTCCATCAAATAATTGGTAATGTAGTGTCATTATTGTTGCACTGTTAGGCCAAGGGTAAACTCAGGGAGACCTCCTGGTTCACCTCTCAGTCTGACATGCACGAGAGTCATGAGCTAGAGTCTAAAGCTTCTCCTTGAGCTGTGGCTGCTTTTCTTGGTTCTGAATACTTGAGGCTGACCTAGTCAAGACAGATATTCTTCTCTGCCCTCACTGCCATCTCCCGCTAGGTACCAACTATAGAGATTTGCCCTTGACTCCAGATTTGGAGGACAGGGAAGCATGGATTTCTTTCATTTTTTAAGAGTATTTTTAGCATTATTGTTATTTTATACATATAAATTGTACAGATCAATGGGTGATATTCTATACATGCATATATTATGTAGCAATCATATCTGCCCTTCCTTCTACCCTTTCATGTTTGTGGAGAGGGAGAGGTACTAAATTCTTATCAACAGAGTGCTCCCTCCCCCTCCCCTTATCCCTATGTTTTAGTGCTGAGCTGAGTGCACTGCACATGCTCAATAAATATGGATTGAAGAGAGATTTGGATTGAAGGAAAAAAATCTCTCTTTAGTTTTCTGGGCCCACAGATGTTAACTGATTTGCCCAGGCTTAGCACTGGCAGTGCACTAATTGAAGACTTTTCTTGTATCCTCAGGTTTTTGGTGATGAACCAGGAACCAAGAGAAGGGCAGTGGGGAAGCCCAGGACATCAGGTGAAGCGCACACACAGGGGGACGGCCTCACACTGTGGGTCTTGATTTTAAATAAAGACAGTTTTGCAAAAATGATGCAGGGATTCTGTTCATCTTCCACCTTGTTGACTCTGGGCAGTCTTGGTTAAAAGGTCCTTCTGGGACTTTCCTCAGTACTCCTCAGTTCTGGATTGTCTGTGAAACCCTCAGCCATCAGAGGAACTCAAGTATGGGGCCAGCCTTCAAACTGGGTTGACAGCTCAGATGATCCTGGGCTCACTGGATCAGGAATCTCTCTCCCTCTCTCTCTCCCCCGCCTCTCTCTCTCTCTCTCTCTCTCTCTCTCTCTCTCTCTCTCTCTCTCTCTCCCTCCCTGGTAAACCTCACTACCACATTAGGTGGCTGGAGGCTGGAGCTAGGAGGAGCCGTCCTGTCCTGGAACTGGTTTTAAAGGTAATTAGAGTCTTTTCTCTTTAATTTAAAACTCCCTAGCAGTTTCTCATGATTAAAACCTTCTTCATGAAGCCAGTGAGGGTCACGGGCTAAACCCTTTCACAAGGAAAAATCTCTATTACAATTCCAAACCATGGTGTGTCCCTAATTACCATCTGGATGGCAAGTCATCCACGTGAAAAAA